GAGTGGGGAGGAAGAGGAATGGGGAAGGATGTGAAAGCCAGTTGCAAGAAGTGGGGAAGTGAGAAGAAGAGTAAAGTGTGGGGAAGATGTGAAAGTCAGATTTAGGTAGTGGGGAAGGGGGGAAGAAGAGGAGAGAGTGAGGAGGAAGATGGAGAGGATGTGAAAGCCAGATGTAGGTAGTGGGTTAGATTCAGATTCAGATTCAGATTCAAAACATTTCTTTAGCCACAAAGATATTACATATTGTTTAAAGTGAACAGAGTTACATTGTATTGGCTGAGCCTTTGAGAGTCGAGTAGACTCTCTTGAAAGAGGCCTATGGTGAAGTAATGATGGTGAAATCGTAATGATACATATAACTGAAATGGCTATAAACAATGGCTACAGATATTTAAAATGGACAGAAATATTAATCAAAACAAATAAGAGGGAAGAAGAGGAGAGAGTGAGGAGGAAGATGTAGAGGATGTGAAAGCCAGATTTAATGAATTGAGAAAAAGGGAAGAGGCAAAGAATATGGAAGCCATGGAGTTGGAGAATTAGGATTATCATAAGGAGTAGCATTATATCATGAGACATTTTAAATAGGAAATATTTATCAACATGTATTTCAATGCTCATATCAAATATGAGTTTGTGTAAAATTACCCCAAGAGAGAACAAAGATTGTCATTTCACATTTAGTGTATGTTATGACCAAGAAAATATTTACAAATATACCCTCAAGTATGCCATTGAAATAAAACTTCATCTTCTATGTCTCCTACCTTTATACTATACGTAGTAAAGAATCAGAAGGAAACAAAGATTCTCTCAAAATTTCTCTACATTTCACCCCAAGTTCATATTCACAATGCTTTAAGCATACCATCAGAATCAAACCTCATCATTATTCACCTTCCCATGTCTACCCTGTCTTTCCCTACCTCTTACACAGGACTTGTTGGGCTGCGAAACCTTGGCCTGACATGCTACATGAATGCAGCACTGCAAGCCCTAAGCAACTCTATGCCCCTCGCACACTTCATGATTGAGTGCCCAGCCTTCCTGAGAACAGATCGCAAGACACCTGGTCTTGCACGACCCTTTCAGAGGCTCATGCTAGAGATGTGGCACAGGAAGAGACCCAGCTTTGTCACACCATCGGTTCTGTACCATGGCTTCAAGCAGGTACGTACAGGAACTTTAGCATCAGTTTGGGTGGGATTGGGCTCTTTCTTTTTCTTCTTCATTGTTTTCTTTTTTCTTCCTTCTTTTTTATCCACGCTTTCCATTTTTATGTATTTATTTCTTTCAGTTTTGTAATTTGCTTAACTTTTTTTGTAGTAAACTGCAAAGTGTGACCTTGGATTATATGAGATAGAACCATATAAAAATTATGTTACTTGAATATTATTAGAAGAACAGCTACTCCAAACTACTACTTAGTAATATTTTTTGAGATATTGCAAAGAAATCTTTCAGTAACTTTATTCAAAAGTTAGAATTATCATATATGACTTTAGATATACCCAGGATTCCCTCTTTTACAACCTCCTATTGATAATTATTTTTTTTGTAATATCTGGTGTTTATAAAGCCCTCCTTTCCATTCCTCATTCATACTGTTTTATCATATATTTCATAGATATTCAACCATGAAGTACCAGTGCATATATATAGTGTTCTAGGATCTAGCCCCTTTATCAAAAGGTATTAATTGATTGCAAGCAAAGGTATCATATGTGCAGCCAAATTCAATCAAAAAAGCACCTGAAGCTGGTTTTCAGCTTCAGCTGGGGCATGATGTTAGTCATTGTGGTGCTAGTGAGCAAAGTCTGGGACATTGGTGGTGGTGTTGCATGAGAAGTAGATGGTGCGGCTGCTGCAGTTGATGTGGTAGTCATGATGGTATGGCATAAATGATAGTGCATGAAATGTTTAGGAAAAGGAAACAGCTGCTCATAATGGAGAGAAGTCTGGTACGGATGTGGAAAAGGAAAGGTGCCAGGCATTTGGTGCTTGGTATTCCCATGTCTTGCCTCTTTTCTCATACCATGTTTTCTTTCTTGTTATGTCTTTCTTCTTTCCTTATACATTGTTGTGGCAGAGTATAAATGAAACAGAAAATAACAAAGCTTTGTAAAGTTGTATGATACAGAGAACAGGAGACACAAGGACATAAACTTTTGATCTGATGTTTGGCTCAGTACTATTCCAAATGGTTGCCTCATAGATATAAATATTCCTTCATATGGATTTTTAAAAAGTGCAAAAAACACTGATAATATTAATACTAGTTGCTGCCAGATGCATGACAATCCATATAAATGTAAATATTTCTTCATAGTGATTGAAAAAGTGCAAAAAACATTGATATTGTTAGTACTTTCATACACTGAATTAGTGAAAAAGGTATTTACCCTCCCCCCACATAAGTTTGCTTTCATGTTAAAACTTTAAAAGATCCAGCATTCAGTAGTGATATGATAGACAGTGATGCTGAGCACTGTAACTCATT